CTGCCACAGCCACCCCATCCACTGGACCGAAACCAGGTGTAACTCCTAAGAGCAGCCCCCTGATCAGAAAGTGAACCGAAATTATACCTCTTCACTTAAAAAAACCCACACCAGTTAGGGATGGCTGCCTGTAAAGCACGACCACGCCTGAGCTTTCCACGCACATGAAGGTAGTTTATGGGAGCTGAGCACAATGCTGGAGCCTCACCTTGTCCGTCAGCGCGACCTGGCAGCCGGGCTGGGCTAAGAGGAGCTGGACGATGTCGGCGTTGCCTTGACGGCAGGCCACCATCAGCGCCGTCGTCCCCTCCTCGTCCTGCAGATTGACGTCGGCCTGGCAGGAGAGCAGGGCTCGCACCATCTCGTCCCGCTCGTGCCGCACCCCCAGCATCAGGGCGGTCTGGCCCCCCTGCAACCGCACAGGGAAAGGCTCAACAACCCGCAGCCACCGGCCTCCTATGGTGCTGCTTATTCAGACTGTCACGTGCTATAATAATATTGAATGTTACCACTTCATATATATATCACAAGACTGCGTGTTATTATTGCGCAGTACATATAATAATTCATAGTATTACTGCATAGAACATCTAATAATTCGTATTCTTGTGTATTGCGTATAGCGTGTTATTATTAAATAATATTAGGGATCTTCAGCAGGTATTATAAAAGGTATCTGCTCACTTGCACCGTGGCCATACAGAGAGTTTTTGCAGCAGCATGGCCAGACCAACCAGCTCCCAGCTGCTCCCAACCCTCCTGAGCAGTTCAACTTAAGTCGTGACTGACTTTTAAAGCTGTTTGGAAGAAGAGCTGGATGGGGGCACTGTCATCTCCAAGACCAAAACGTGTGACTGATGAAACCACTGCTCGCCAGCAAACCTGACCCAGATCCCGTACCCACACTGCTCCTCCCAGCTATCACTTCTAATCTTGTAGCTGGGAAAATTTGTTTTGCAAAATTTTCAGCCTTCCTTTAGTCTCTTCCTTTTATCCAGCTCTTGCATCCCTTCACAGGAAGCTGGCTGGTGGCCCTGCTGCAATTCAGCTGAGGTTGCTTTTGCAATTTTTAGCAAGCGGCAACTCCAACTCAACGTCTACCACTGTCTCTCACATCGGTGCTGTGCATGCAGTGTGAGGAACCCCAACCCAAGGTCTCTACAGGAGCATGAGATGGATGTAAATAAGAGGCTCTGAGCTCAGCAGGAGTCACTTTGCAGATGCCTTTGCCAGAAGAACACCCTCTGCCCATGGCATGACCCAGCGCCTTGTTTTTCAAAGGGAGCACAGAATCACGGGGACGCACCTGAGCGGCTCGCAAGTTGACGTCCCCCTCCTTCAGCAGCTCCATCACCACCTCCATGTCCTTACTCGTCTCGGCAGCCTCCAGCGCGGTGAGCATCACTGCCGTGTAGCCGGCGCGGTTCTGCAGGTCCAGGCGGCACACGCCTGGCAGGGGACAGACCACGCCGGGGAGGGAAGCAAAGAGGGAGTTATGAGATGGGTGGCATCCCCACATTCCCAGAAACAGGAGTTTACGTAACTGGACAGGAGTGAGGTTTATCTGTGTTAAATCATTAGCGACCACAGCATTAAAGGGCCCTCGGTGCTACACATTGCTACAGCTGATTCCAATTGCCAAGGTCAACTCAATTAAATTTGAAGACCATAACCTAAAACACAAAGAAGGAGGAGATGTCATGCCTTGGGCATATGGTGGCTGCAAAGCCATGGGCTGTTTGCTTCAACTCCTGCAGCAAGGGAGCAACCAATGGGTGGTGTAAATCCATCTCGGCCCCATTTCACCTCAAAGAGCCCATTTCCAACCCCACCACGAAGAAGGAGCCGCGTCTAACGGGCTCAGGGCCAGCCTGGCCCCCAGGGGAACAAACCCCTCGTGGTTCCCCACGCGTCCGCGGCAACAATCGGGTTATAGATGTGTATGATAATCTGCCATTTCCCTAACATTTAACAGATTGTCTGGCCTGTGAGAAAAGGGCAAAGCGCTTTTATTCTTTCGGAGCACGCGCACATTTTTTTTTTCCCCTCGCACAGGCTCAGCTGGGATTTTTCTTTCTTTGCAATGCCAGCTGGAAGATTTCTATGGCGCTGAGGGGTTTGATATGCGCTCAGGGGTCTGATCTTCCTGCTCCAAGCCATCAAGTGGCATTTTCTCCTACAAAAAGCTGGGGGGGCCACCCCGTCCCACCTGGCCTGGGGCCATGAGAGACACCCCTCAGCCACAGGGGCCCTCAACCATCCCTAAAGTCAGACTGCAAAGCCCTCAAGACGTGTCAGGGCCCTGAGGGTACTAATGAGCCTTAATGACCCTGAGGAGCCTCAGCTGGGACCTCTGCCCACACCCATGGGTCCAGGGCTGAGCTGTGGGGAAGGACAGTGGTATTTAGATCAGCTATGTCTCCTGGGTGGACCTGGGGCCCATGGTTGTATCTTGGAAGGAGATTGAGGTGCTGGAGCATGTCCAAAGAAGGGCATCAAAGCTGGTGAAGGGTCTAGAGCAATGTCTTATTGAGGAGCAGCTGAGGGAACTGGAGTTGTTCAGCCTGGAGAAAAGGAGGCTGAGGGGACACCTTATTGCTCCCTACAACTACCTTAAAGGAGATTGTAGAAAGTTGGGGATTGGTCTGTTCAACCAGGTAACAAGTGATAGGACAACAGGTAAACAGCCTCAGGTTAAGCAGAAGGAAGTTTAGACTAGATATGAGGAAGAATTTCTTCACTGAAAGGGTTCTCAAGCACTGGAACGGGTGCCCAGGGCAGGGGTGGAGTCCCTATCCCTGGAGGGATTTAAGAGCTGGGTTTACCCAGTGCTCAGGGATCTGGTTTAGTCGAGGACTTGTCAGTGTTGGGTTAATGACTGGACTCAGTGATCTTTTCCAGTCTGGGCAATTGGCCCAGACCTTGGCCCTACACCTGTCCCTTGGATGGAGCTTGGCCATACGTTTGTCTCCTGGATGGACCTTGGCTTCTTGCTCATCTACTAGCTGGCTCCATCGCATGTAAGCTGTACTTGAGCCTCAGCCCTGCCTCTGTTCCATCTCCTTTTGCTCCTGACTGACCTCCTAGGGAGGACCCTGGACCTCATTCACCATTTGACATGTCTGGGGCTGTTGATGGATGCTCATTACCCAGCTCTCCACATCCCGGCCATCCCCCGTGGGACTGTGGCCCGTTGGGCAACATAAACAAACCAAAAAAAAAACAACAAAAAACACAGAGTGGTTGTTCCTACCTGTGTCTAGCAGGAGCTTTGCAATGGGGAAGTTGGAGTGGGAAACGCTGTAGTGAAGAGCCGTGTTGCCGTTCCTGTCAGCCAGGTTCACCACCACCTCCAGGAGCTGGGGCTGGATGGCCCCCAGCCCCTTGAGATACGCTGCCACCATGGCCGGGCTGGAAGACTTGCAGCTTGACACCCGGAACCACTCCTGGCAGACGGAGCTCAGGACGTGCCGCTGAAAACACCAAGGTCTCACCGTTACTGCTGGGGGGGACTCATCCTGCAAACCAGTCGCTGCCCCAGCTCCTCTCCCCACACCACTTTGTCCTGTGCTCCGGCATCGCCCGGCCGGTATTTATCTTGTGGTTTTGGGATTACTGCTATAACTTAAGGGGGAAAGGAATTTCCTGTGGTAACTTGAATGAGTAAGCAAAGAAAGCCTTCATCTTCCTTCTTTTTTTAACCTTTTCCTTTCTTTCGGGCTATTCAAAAACTGACTCGGAAGTCATCTCATCCCCCACTCCTGACAAAGCTGTCCATGGCATGGTAGGACACAGCCTGCAACACCCGTCAGGATAATCTTATCCATTAAACCCAACAAAGAGCGGAAACCGCATCTGAAATGGGATTGAAAATTATCTGTACCAGATGCTTGTCGCCTGTGGTCCTGATTTCTGAGAGGTGCTTGCTGAGCAGCTGGCAGTTGGCAAGGAAATCCTCAGAGGGTTTGCATCTAAAGGGAAAATACTTTTGTAAATCCATCATAGGACAGAACTTGCAGGAAGTATTGAAGCAGGAAGGAGAACGGTTTGGGTCAGAATCTGTTCAACACCTATTTAAGTGCTTAACTTCACAGACACAAGTTGTCCCATTGACTCGGCACAGATCTAAGTACAAAGTTAAGCACTTAAATAAGTGTTTAAGTACAGAGTCTCAGAGCTGTATGATCAACTCCGTTACAAAAATTCTCAAAGTGGAAAAAAAAAAGAAACCTTACTCCTGAATCTGCAAAGAACTTTGCTGAGAAACTTTACGTGAGAGGGGAGAAACGAGCTAATTCTCACCAAATATGACTCACTCCGTCTTTTCCACAGTCAAGCACAGGGCCTGAATCAAACCCCATCAGATTCTGCAGTAACTAAAAAAATATTTAGCTCTTTAAAGCCTGTTCCCATGTCTACAGAGGTCAGTGGCTGCCTTTCCACCGACCCCAGCCTGGTATGAGCAGCACCGTGCGTCCTGCAGAAACGGGATGGACAGCACCATCACTGGCTGGTCGTCTGGTTACCTGTCAGCCTTGTGCTGAGAGCAAGGTGCCACTCCTGGTGATGGCTCCTGCAGGTCATCATCCTCATGTCTCTCTTGTGAGGAGGTCCCTGACGGAGCCCCCTTGCTTTCATCTCCAACTCCGGCCTCCATGGGCTCCAAATCATCGGCTCTTTTCTCCGTCTCGCTCTCCGCGTCGCCGTCCGACGGGCTGTCTTCACAACTTGTGTCTTCGCTTGAAGTCGTCTCGTAGCTATTTGAGGACACCACATGTTATTCTCTCCTGCCCCACCTGCAAACATCTGCTCATTGACCAAGGCTCATTGAAGACACCCACTGACTCCGATGGGCCTTGGGTGAAGCCCAGAGCGATATGCAAGTTAGAAGGTTAGAGCTGCAGCCAGACTTGGGGTTAGTCTTTTTTTTTTTTTTTTGGCTTCTTAGGCCAGCAGAAGGGTGACAGAAGCAGTTAATTAGCAGCAGGCAAGATTACTTCAGGGACTACTTGGTTGGTTTGGAGGAACGTCCATCGCACAAGCCCCAGTGTGGCCAGGCAAGGGCTGTGTGCCACCTCCCCGACGGGAAGCCCGAGAAACACAAGCTCTGTGGCAAGATGAGACAGGTGGCACATCGGCAACCTTCAGGACAACCAGAAAAAAAAACGTGTTTGCAGCTCCAGCATGGACCTAAGTCCACCATTCAAGCAGCCCTGCTAGAGAGACCTCTCTTCTGGTTGTCCAGAAGTATTAATAATAGGAACAACTTCCATGAGACAGAACATTTCACTCTGGGATCCCAAAACTTTTCTCCAACCAGTCAAGATTCCTCTGCTTGCTACAAGTTGTGCCCATTTCAGTGACTGTTGGCAGAAGAAGCTCTACACAAGAGCGAGTAACACCTGGTGAACCCAACAGCAGTAGCCATTGAACCGGGAATTTGGAGAACCCTATGTCAGCAGAAATTGGTAGAAGATCTGCAGAAACATTGGTAGAAGATGCTTCAGTCCTGCCCTTAGAGATGCATCTACAGCTCACGTTGGTGTATCTAGTCAGCTCAAAGGCCACAGAGTGTTAGGTGGTGGATACACAGCACACTGTGTGTTGGAGCACAACCTACAATACAGGTGTCCTTTACCCCGAGGTAATTCCTTATTTACGGAAATAGTCTTTTCTCAGTCCCTAAACCAACTTTTGTTGGCCATCGCTGGAGCGGGGAGGCTGGTTAGTGGCAGCATGCCCACTTCCAAAACTTTGACCTCCTCCAAAACCCACCAAAGGTAGTGGGGATCTTCCCACAGACCCAGCTGGTTTTTGGATGAAGCCCCAAAAGACGGGTGGGCAGTGAGTGTTGGTCCCCAGGGTGTCCCTTGGCGCTCTGAAAACACCAACATCTTGTCTACAGGGTTACTTACAGGTTACCAGTGCTGGATTAAAGAAGGGAGAAAAGAGGCTCTGTTTCAAATGGCCTTTTAATCAAGAGGTTTGGAGATGAAAAGAGGGGGGGGGAAAATAATTTCTTCAGCCATACAGAGGACATCACATGTTAAAAGGCAGTTTTATCTCCTGAACAGATGCTTACCCACCGTTTACCCCAACAAACTGGAGATTCTTTTTGGTCCCATTGCCTCCTGCATGGAAACCATAACCTTTCTTTTTCATGATAGATTTAAGACTTGTGGTTGGAGAGATTTCTAGCAAAATACAAAATAATAGATTAAATAAGCAGGCGTGCCACAACTGTCAATGATTATTCCAACCCCCTCGCAACAAACTATGAATCGTAACGGTAAGAATCTCGCTTCATCCAATGAGATTCCTTTCATGCCTTGCGAAACTACGGATGCACCTGGCCACAACCTGAACCTGCCCTGCCACCTTTAAAACACGGGTCTCCAACATCTCAAAGTGACTGGGTATACAAAGGAAGTGACTGGGAATTACGTATGTGTCCTACAAATGTAAGTAGGTTTTACTTTTGATACTTATTTTTTTTTCAATAGTAATATATTGGAAATTTCCCATATAAATCTCCTGTAATACTACACGGATGAGTCTTTTCACTGGACTTTGAATAGTCTCACCACGTATTGCTCATAGGTAATAGGTCACTTATTTATTTGCAAGGCCCCACCGACAGCGATCAGGGAGCCTTCAGTTTTGGATTCTCATCGTCATATAAGCTAGAATTACTTGAGACGGGCTGTAAGTGGGAACAGGGCTTTTCCCAGCCCAGTTGCTCCGTTAGCTTGATTTGGGTTTGGCTCCGGTGAACTCCATGCTGACTTACCCTAGATGAGCACGAGTCCCATATTCTCGCAAACTGAGCTGTTTAATAATTAAGAAAATCAGTTATCTGATGAAACTGCCACAAGTGCAGCCACTTTTGGAAGCTGATCCTGTGTATAGCTGGGCCACAGCTTTATCAGCTCCCACATGATTTCGTTTGCTTTTTTTTCTTAAGATCACATGTTTTATGATGTGCAGAGATTTGCCTTCTCGTTCACTTTAGGAGGGGCTACTTCTGATCTGACTGACGCTAATTACACCACCGCATCTCCCCGGCTCATCCCTTTAATAAATGGGGAGAGATTTGGCCCAGACAAGTTGAAACCTGTGCCAGTATTATTTACCCAACTGTTGATAGTGTGCGTTCGAATTTTCTTTATCCGCAGGCCCTTGCGTAGAGTAGGCAGACAGCAACGAGTTTAAAGAATTCACTAATTGGTTCTGAATGGAGCTGAGCTTGGAGGCCGGCTGCTTGATAGCGCTCGCTAACTCGGGGTAGCTGTGCTCCAAACACAGCCACTGCTCCTGCAAAAGCTCCTGGATTTTTTTTACGTATTGGCCGATGGGGTCGACAGCAGGGAGATCCTCGTGTTCGGGGAGACCTTCCTCTTCCAGCCCACCTCGGGGTTTATCTTCTCCAAAGCCTGACGTGTTTTCACCCACTTTTGAGCCATTTCTGGTCCCTCGGTAGCTTTCCGCAGACACTGCGTGAGCGGCAAGACGCTGGGTATCGTAGTTATTCCTGTGATTTTGATTGTCATCACTGGGGAGCTCATTGATCTTCAGCTGGGTGAAGCCTGGGGTGTGAGGTCCAGCCTCGATATCGGCATCACTGAAATGTCCAGGTCCCTCTCTGCTGACGCTGGTGTGAGCATCTGCTGGTCCCTGACCTCTCCGAGCACCCAGCTCCATTGTGTTGTCTTCTCTCCGAGCACCGCATCCTATAGATTTGGTGGAGATTGGGATATTTACATTGATGCCTTTATCGTGGGCTTGCTTGGCCCCCGTTACCTGCGAGAGGTCGGTGTTCACCGCAGCGTCGTAGCACTGCAGAGCACCACTGCTCTGTCTGGATGGCGCTGTGGCCTCTTTGGTGTTTTCCCGGCACAGCTTTTCTTCCAGCTGAGCTTTGCAACTGACCAGTAACTTAATGCTTTTCTCCTTCTCCTTGATCTCATGATCTTGCTGCTCCAGCACTGCCCTGACCTGCTTGAGCTCTTCCTTCTTCTGCTCCAGCTGCTCCTCCAGAGCAGCAATCTGCTGCCTCAGCGCCACGACCCCGCCGGGCTCTTCAGCATCATGAGGCTGAGGACCACAGCTCTCTTTGTTCTCTCCAGCCTGGAAACTCCCCTCCTCAGCTTTCTTCAGCACATTTGGAGCAATTTCACCCACACTTAACTCCCTTTCCCCAGGGTTCATGTTCTCTTCTGCAAGCTGGAGGGCAGCCGGTGAGGCT